GGGCACATCCCCAGTAGGGGGTGTGCAGGAGGCAGCTGATCGATGTTTCTCTCTCATCGATGTTTCTAACCCTCTATCCCTCTCCTTCCTCTCTGTAAAAAAATCAATAAAAATATATTTAAAAAAACAAAAACAAAAACAAAACTGATGTTGAGATCCCACCCACCAAAACTGCAAGGGAACAAATTTCCGTTGTTGTTTAGCCACTGGGTTTGTGGGCATTTGTCACAGCAGCTGCTGGACGCTAATACAGATGGTTGGTTCAGTGAATGGATCCATGGAAAGTGGGTGGCTTATCTGACCGACGGATTGCAGGGTTGGTGGGAAGAGGGAACCAATAGAATGAATTAAAGAAGGAAAGAACGGGGGTGGAGGAGAGAATAGTTCGATGGATGGATAGAGCCTTGGAGAGCCGGGGGGTGAACTGAATACACGATGAGTGAATGGAGAGGCAGGGAGAGCAGGTAGGTGGGTGGGTGAAATGCTACGCGGCTGAATGCATACAGACAAGAACACACGCTCAGACAAATGTGTTCCTGGAGAGCCGCCCGAGTCGGAGTGGGCTCCCCCCTCCTCGGCTCTTCTCCTGCTTGTGAGAAAGAATTCAGATGAGTGACAGAAAGCGGTGTTGAAATAAAGCAAGAGATTTTTAAAAATATATATTTTATTGATTTTTTACAGAGAGGAAGGGAGAGGGAGAGGGAGTTAGAAACATCAATGAGAGAGAAACATCCATCAGCTGCCTCCTGCACACCCCCCACTGGGGATGTGCCCGAAACCGCGGTCCATGCCCTTGACCGGAATCGAACCTGGGACCCTTCAGTCCGCAGGCTGACGCTCTATCCACTGAGCCAAACTGGTCAGGGTTAAAGCAAGAGATTTTGACTAAGGAAGCAAAGCAAGCGGGTTTATTAAGGATACGCTTGGCGCCCGGCCGGCGTGGATCGGTGGGTGAGCGTCTGTCTATGACCCAGGAGGTCACGGTTCGATTCCCGGTCAGGGCACAGGCCCGGGTTGCAGGCTCCGGGGGGGGGGGGGGTCATGCAGGAGGCAGCCGATCAATGATTCTCTCACCGTTGATGTTTCTGTCTCTCTCTCTCTCTCTCCCCGTTCTCTCTGGAATCACATAACACAACATCCACCACTCCCACCGCTAGAAGGTGTGTGATTCCGTGACCTCTCACTAGGGGACACGGTGACACGGTGACACGGTGACACGGTGACAGGGCCCTGCCACTGTCACTTCTACCTGCTTCTACACCATTGTCATCTCCCCAGAGGAAGTGACTAAGCAGTCACGGCCCGCTTCCCCCAGCCCCGGGCAGGGCAGCCAGCTGCCTGCTTTCTGTTTCTCCGGCCAGGGCCACGTGGGAAATCTTAGCGCTTCATCCGCCCAGGGGTGGGGTGGGCTTTTGCAGAGCTGAGCTACAGTCTCCCTCCCGGTCTCCCTGTCCAGGCGGCTGACCTATGTCCCAGTCCGAAGGCTTTTCCCTGCCTGTCCCTGCTCCCTCCCCCCTTTATCTTCCTCTGGCATCGTTCCCAAGAAATTCCTCCATCTCTTCCTGGAGGACCTCAGGACAGGGCAAGCCTGTGAGGTCCAGGTGTGGGCAGAGCAGGGCAGCCCGCACGCCCCCAGGTGGCTCCTTGGCGGTGTTGAGCGTCACCTGGAGGACCCGGGACGTGCACAGCTGGCTTTAGGGAGAACCTCCCGCCTGGACAAGTCCACAGCCACAGAGGGCAGTGAGGAGTGGCCAGGGGCTGGGGGAGGAGGGACGGACGGGGAGGGCCTGCTCCATGGGTACCAGAGCGCCTTCTGGGGAGATGAAAAGCTCTGGGACTGGAAGGAGGGGAGAAGGGGTTGCACAACAATGGGAAGTCCTAAATGCCACGGAATTGTCTATTCCGAAATGGCTAATTTTATGTTTTGTGAATTGTGTCCCAATTTTCAAAAGGAGCGGGTGGGTACTGAGGGAGGAGGGGCTGGGGGCCTGGGCTCCTGGG